AGTTTTAGTAATGTTGGATCTGAGTGCTGCGTTCGACACAGTCGACCACGAGATCCTCATGCAGAGACTAGAGCACTGGGTGGGTGTCACTGGGACTGCCCTAAGTTGGTTTAGGTCTTACCTAGAAGACAGGAAATACTTGGTTCAGATAGGAAACTGTGTCTCAGATCATATGGCTCTGACCTGCGGAGTGCCACAGGGATCAATTCTGGGGCCTCTCCTGTTCAATATTTACATGCTGCCGTTAGGTCAGTTAATACGCTCCAACAATGTATCCTACCACAATTACGCTGATGACACTCAAATTTATGTCTCACTTACTGCAGGAGAACATGGACCAGTGGAATCACTCCTTCACTGTACTCAACAGATTAGTGATTGGATGCAAAATAACTTCCTTCAGCTAAACGCAGACAAAACAGAATTGATTGTCTTTGGTCCTCAGAAACAAAGAGAGAGCGTTATTCGTCACCTCCAGTCTCTCTCCCTGGAACCTGTAGGTAAGGTCAGAAACCTAGGAGTTATAATGGACTCAGACTTAAATTTTAACAGTCATATCAAATCAGTAACATCAGCAGCATTTTACCATCTGAAAAACATTGCCAAAATTAGAAACATAGTGTCTAAATCAGATCTGGAGATTCTCATCCATGCATTTGTCTCCAGTAGGTTAGACTACTGCAATGGCCTGCTCACAGGTCTCTCCAAACAGGCTGTAAAACAACTGCAGTATGTCCAAAATGCTGCAGCTCGAGTCCTGACCAGGACCAGGAAATATGACCACATTAGTCCAGTTCTCAGGTCTCTGCACTGGCTTCCTGTGGCTCAGAGAATAGACTTCAAAGCAGCACTGCTTGTGTACAAGTCTCTCCATGGCCTCGCACCAGGGTACTTAAGCGACTTGTTAGTCCCATATGAACCGACCCGGACTCTGAGGAGCACAGGAGGTAGCCTCTTACTGGTTCCAAGAGTCAGAACTAAACATGGGGAGGCAGCGTTTGAGATTTATGGAGCTAAAATCTGGAACAATCTTCCTGAAGATGTGAGGCTAGCATCTACTCTGGCAATTTTTAAATCAGGGCTAAAAACTGTTCTTTTTAGCTGTGCATACGGCTGAAGGATTTTATTGATACATACTCTTTTTTTTTATGCATTGTGGTTATTTATTATTTTAATCCCGTGTGTGCTTTTAATATTTTAAGTTTTTTTTTTTTTTCCATTATTTGTGATTTTATTCTGTTTTTAATGTATTTATTGATGTCTCTGATTTGTGTGATATTATGTGGGTTGTGAGGCGCTTTGAGTGGCCTTGTGTTGGAAAGGCGCCATACAAATAAAGTTGATTGATTGACCTGTTTGAGAGGTCCATGGCGCCTCCCAAAGTGCAGATGCCGTCCTTCATCTCTAAAGACGTCCCGGCGATTATCCTGAAGACCCCAGAGGACATGCGGAGACTCAGTCACAGGTCAGACTTGTCCAAGGGCCAGTTCATGACTCTCGGCCTGATCGAGTCTTTGATGATCGAAATGTTCAGGGGAAAAGCTGCTTTACGTCCGTGGGACAAAAAGTATCAAAGAATCCGCGACAGTTTGACCCAAAAGGCCTGGGAGGAAATCCAACTGTCGGAGTACCAGGTCAAGAAAACAGAAATGAGAATGAGTAAGATCATTCAGGCGGTTATCAAGGACCTCAAGACACATTATGGCACGGCAGAGAATATGGTAGAAAGAGCTTTGGACTCGACTTTTGACAGGACGGTTCTAAAGTCCCTACAGTATCACCTGGAGCACAACCTGCGCAAGAAGAGGTCTTTGCTGAGCTGTGTGTTCCGAATCTGCTGCTGCCCCATCATCAAGGACTAAACATCTACCCCTTTAAGACCCCCGATGCTAGCTACAAGGGTTTGGATGAGGTTTGCTAGCTACAGAGGTTTGGATGAGGTTTGCTAGCTACGGGGGTTTGGATGAGGTTTGCTAGCTACAGGGGTTTGGATGAGGTTTGCTAGCTACAGGGGGGTAGTACAGAGCTAATGCACACTTTAACCATCACTTTTTTCAGCCGGCTTTTCCCACACACTAAATGCTTAGTTTCTTTGTGACCCTTCATGTCTGGATTATTGTATAATCTGGATGAGAGGCACAGAAAAAAGACCACTTTTATGACCGCTTTTAAGAACCGGACTCAGGACTAAATTGTAACTTTAGATTTAGTTTTGAGGAAAAGACCCCTCATGTCTGGATTATTGTATAATCTGGATGAGAGGGTGAAGGCAGGAGCTACAGACTCTGGAAATATCGGAAATGTTTCCACTGCAACGAGATGAACACATGAGTCCAAGACAAAGGGAACTGGAAACACAACAAACACTCAACAACAACTCAATAAACTGCATTTTAATTGGATAAAACTGTCTTTGAATCTTAGTTTGTGGCTTAACTTCATTTGTGGATCGACCAAAACAATGAAGTTTGTTTGGTCCTTTTGGCTCTGGATTAAAGGCAATATCAACAGCTAAATTTGCTGACAACATGGCTAACACAAGGGAGAGCTAGCTAAAACAAGTGAGTGTCAGGTGGAGCTGCACCCATTACACAAATGACCAGCCCCCTCCTGATCCTCCTGCAGGTGCTGAGTCCACAGTCTAGACACAGCCTTGATCTTTCAGCGGGGGCTTCAGGAAAAGTGGGCTTAAGTGACTTTCCCGTGGACACAACGACATCAGACATCAGTGGGAGTCGGTGGAGAAGGTCTTGTGGTAGGGCTCGAACCCACAACCTTCAGGCTCTAAGGCCAATGCTAGAGCAGATTATGAATAATAACTTTGTGGGTTCATTCATTAGAACAGAATAAATATATAACTATACTGATTACTCATTTATTATTTTTGTTATTATTATTATTCATCTTTATTTCGGACTCAAATTAAATTACAGTAGTCCTTATTTATTTAAGCAACAGACCAGTATGAGGTCAACAACCAGAAAGGACAGAGGTTAACATCTCTGTGGGCCGGGGACTTCACCCGGCCTGGTTTGCAGTGTCTTGTCATGTCATCATGACGGAGGGTGGCAGTCAGAGCTGATCCTCTGCGTGGTGGGTCCATGGGAAGATGGCTTCTCAGCCATCGAAGACATGGCCTTGGTCTTTTAATTTCAGGCAAAGTGGTATTAAGTGTCTTACCCAAGGACCCACGACTATTAGGTTCCAAGACCAATGCTCTACCAACTGAGCCACTGTCGAATACAATACAACACAAATTATGTATTCTTGTATAGCCCTAAATCACAACAGCATCATCTCAGAGACTTAACAAAACCATTGAAATCACCAACACCAACACAGATGTTATTGGTCCTTAGGGAGAGACCACATGGTAAACATGTCCCTTCATTCTGGAATATTCCCAAAAGGCCCTGAAACTGCAGTCATCAGGCCCCTGCTAAAAAAGAGCAGTCTGAATGCCACGATACTTAACAACTATCATCCCATCTCAAATCTGCCATTTATGGGGAAAGTCCTTCAAAATGTTATTTACCAACAGCTTACTAAATTTCATAACAACTCTTTTGACATGTTTTCAGTCCGGCTTTAGACCCCACCACTGACTGAGACTAGAGGACTGGGTTGGTCCTCACAGAGACTAGAGGACCGGGTTATCTTGAAGACAGGAAGTACTTTATGGAGATCGGAAACTGTGTCTCAGATCATATGGCCCTGACCTCTGGAGTACCTCAGGGGTCGATCCTGGGACCTCTTCTGTTCAATCTCTACATGCTGCCGTTAGGTCAATTAATACGCAGAAACGAAGTGTCCTACCACAACTATGCAGACGACACTCAGATCTATGTCTCACTGACTGCGGGAGAACATGGACCAGTGGACTCACTTCTTCACTGTATCCAACAGATCAGTGAGTGGATGCAAAACAACTTTCTTCAGCTAAACACCGATGAAACTGAAATGATTGTTTTTGTTTCAGAAACAAAGAGAGAGCGTCATCTGTCACCAACAGTCTCTCTCCCTAAAACCTTCAAATCAGGTCAGAAATCTGGGGGTAATACTGGACTCAGACTTAGATTTTAATAGCCACATAAAATCAGTTACATCAGCAGATTTTTACCATCTAAAAAACATTGCCAGGATCAAAAACATAGTGTCTAAAGCAGACTTGGAGATTCTTTTCCATGCATTTGGTAGGTTAGACTACTGGTTAGACTTCTGCAATGGCTGCTCACAGGTCTCTCCAAACAGGCTGTAAAACAGCTGCAGTACATTCAAAATTCTGCAGCTCGAGTCCTGACTAGAACCAGGAAGTATGATCACATTAGTCCTGACTAGAACCAGGAAGTATGATCACATTAGTCCCGACTAGAACCAGGAAGTATGATCACATTAATCCTGACTAGAACCAGGAAGTACTATCACATTTGTCCTGACTAAAACCAGGAAGTACGACCAAATTAGTCCAGTCCTCGGGTCTCTGCATTGGCTTCCTGTGGATCAGAGAATAGACTTTAAAACAGCTCTGCTTGTGTACAAGTCTGGACACAAGCAGACTGTAGAACGAGGACTGAGGCTATAGATCCAGGACCTAAGCTACAGAACGTGGACCAGGGCCACCCAATTGCCGCAGAACATGGACAGGTCCAGTGCAGGACCGAAGCACTCCCAGGCGGGTCGGGCAGGGCAGGCCGCAGGTGCAGATGGAGGAGGCCAGGTTCAGAGATCCCTCTGAACCTGCCCTCCTCCATCTGCAGCTTGACTGACGGTAAGATGTTCAGCCTTCCCTGAGTCTTACCTTCCTGACCATATGTTAAACTAAAGAGGACTGTTTTAGTCTAGACTAGAACGTAGGGTTGAAGATGCAGCGTAACGGGTCCCATATACGCAGACTCCAAGACCAGACGAGACCTGACCGGACAAACAACCTAACCAAATGCTAAATTAAAGTAGAGTGTTCAGCCTGTTGATCACCATTACTAGGAGTAACCTCCTCCAGTTTGTCACGGATGGATGTAATTTTATCATTAATGAAGTGAAGAAAGTCGACACTGCTCAGTGAGCTTGGTATTTTTGGCTCCTAGTCGGAGTGGCGACATAGCCTTTCCAGTTTTCTGATGTCTGATTCAAAGTATGCAGTTGGATATTGTACCATGGCGACGATGATCTAATCCGAATAGTTATCTGTTTTAGTGGAGCTGCTGCATTTAATGCAGATTTTAAAGACTCCATACTGCAGCAGCTCTGTGTGTGTGTGTGTGTGTGTACGTGCCTGTGTGTGTACGTGAGTGTTTGTGAGGAGAAGCAGGAATCAGTGATCCCACTTTGTGTGCACTTGTTTTCAACTCCTGGTGGGGTCCATAACCAGAGATTCCACTCACGTCATGGGGACTGGTTTTACGTTATGGGGCCAGAACACTGAACCCCACTGGTCCAAGCTTAAAAATCAATGGGTAATGCTTTTCCAACTGTCCTTATGCAGTCTCTGCAAAAACATGGAAAGGACCCCTGGAGGTTTACTTTACTGAAAAAAATGTGTTATGTGTCCTTGGTGGTGGCATGCGGGATATCATGGAGGGGCACACGGGGGCAATTTCAGGAAGTCAAGTGTCAGGCTTGAAAAGGTGCAGGTGTGGTCCATCAGGCTGCAAGAAATCATGGAAGAGCACACTGAAGCGCACGCTTACAAACCCCCGTTAAGTGCTGACTGACTGACTGAAGTTATGACGACAAATTTTTTCATAGAATTATTAAAATCATTTGTTGTTCGTGCAGCTTAGTCAAGAGTCTCTTAACAGAAGTGATGAAGTCGACTCAGATTCTGACGATTTAACTGTCAAGAAGAAACCTGTAAAAAAGTATAGAAAAAGAAAAGTCAAACATACTTTTCTTCAAGACTCAGAAAATGACATACCAAAGGCAAATAAGATTGTTATCATGCAGCTGCAAAAGAAGAGAAATGGGGCGAGAGTTTACAGCTAGAAACTGCCTCTACTGTTCAATGTCCTGCCACAAAATGTCCCGTCATTTGTCTAGAAAACATGGAAATGAAAGTGACGTAGCCAGAGCATTGGCCCTACCTGTGAAATCTAAAGCACTTAAACTTCAGTTTGATTTGATCAGGAATAGTGGAAACCGTGAGCATAATTTTGAGGTTTCAAAGGCCGGCACTGCATCAGGATGAGGTCACAGGTGTGGTCAAAGCAAAAAAGGGATTCTGAGACTCGGAGAGCACCTGTACTTAAAACATGGGCATGATTAGACTAAGCATGATTACATTAGGCAGAAAATGAGAGAAGTCGCTAGGTTAATTATCAAAACAAAGATGGCAGGGAAACTGAAAACAATTAAGGATTTCTTTATTCCTTCCAACTTTAACCATGTGATTGACGCAGTCAGGTCTGTGGCTGGCTATGAGGAGGAAACAAATCAATACAAGACTCCATCCTTGGCCCTCAAACTCGGCCATAGCCTCAAAAAGCTAGCAGATATTCTTGAATGTGACTCAAAAATTGAGCATTGTGTTTATGAACTGTTTATAAAAAACCTCCAACGAAGCCGGCTGCTTTTTGAGGAGAGGTGGGACGTCTGTGTTTCTTCTGCTGCCCTAGAGACCCTCTGCCAAGCGAAGTGGACTGAGGACGTTAGAGCCATGCATGCACATATCGAGGTATGTCGACCTGAATATGTGCAGACCCTAAAGAGTGAACCAACCCCTAAGCAGGGAAGAGTGACGGAATTCAAAGGAAAGAGCCTCAACCAGATACAAATTGAGCCTGAAGGTAATTCTTGATATTATTAAAATATTTATTATTTATATTATTTTTTTCCCCTAAATGACACTTGGGTTTTTATTTTCTTT